GAAACACAAGCAGCCCACAAGGAAAGCAGGGAGAGAGTTTGGAATCTGGAAGCACCAGTGTTCTTTTTTAATTGACCAAAACAAAGGGAACCAAATCTTGCGTTAAACTGCAGAGCTCCCTCCCCAGGCTCACCGTCCATCCATGAATGATGAAAAAGGTTTTGGCTGTCATGTTGAAACCACAGTCTTCTAAGGGCTGGCTCTGGCCCAGGGAGAGGTAACATCCTTCATGCTCTGGGTCCTTAGAAGTGCGGAGGTTAAAGTTCACAGAGGGTTTGGCCTCAGTCTGCACATCCCTGGATTTGTGGAGCTCTTCTGCGGAGAAAGAACAAAGTGTGGGTACTTCTAGTGGACTTGGGAAGTAAGAGATCTGGGGTCTAGTTCTAGTGCAATCTTGAGCAAATTGGTGATAGACCTAAAGACCCAGAAAGCATGTAACAAATATGAATTTCTCATCCTTAAGAGGAGGAATGTCCCCTCCCAATTAGCCCAGGCAGAAGACTGCTCATTCAACACTGCCATTGTCCTATAGATTGTCGTTATATGAACAAATAAATCCCTTGCTGATCAAGAGTTTCTGAAACTGAGCGTTAAAGCCCTTTTTTATTCAATACTTAAGCCATCTGGGTTTTTACACCTGCTGAATGTTCCCTCTTCACCTCCCAGCAGAATTGCGAAGATATTATAGAAGGGATATTATATGAGAAGCGTTCTACTCATCTATACTTAATGGTTATAGTCACACGTATTAATTACTATGCCTCTGCAATAAATAGGTCTCTCTTTTGCTTTTCTCTCTTCTTCCCTATCAAAACAAGATTCCCTTCCTTCCCCCAAGTTCCTACCTTTAGAGTATGGGGTCCTCAATTCATTTCCTGAAATGCTTGGGACCAGTTGAGTTTCAGAATTCAGAAATTTTNAGCTAAATCACATGAGCAGGTCAACTGTCATGGAAGAAATGAACAAAAGACCCAACCAGCATAAATTTGAACCATGGACATAACTAGTCCGATAGCTCCCAAATTCCACCTAGATAGCCACTTACATGGAGACATGATGGAGAAGTCTAGGAGAAAAGGAGTCTGCTGGCTTCCTGAAACTGATCTGTGGACAAACCCACAGAGTGACAAAGAAGGTTCACTTTGGCACCTGGCTTGCTCTGACCCCACAGTTCTCTAGCTTCATTCCTACTACTCTGGCCTAGTCACTTCACCTCTGGGACTTGATGGTT